CTGAATTCCAATTAATTTAATCCCAGCCTACTCAGTCTCTCCTCATAATCCAACCCCCTCAACTCTGGAATCAACCGAGTGAATCTCTTCTGCATCCCCTCCAGTGCTAGTATATCCCTTCTCAAGTAAGGAGACCAAAACTGCACACAGTACTCCAGGTGTGGCCTCACCAGGACCCGATACAACTGCAGCATAGCCTCCCTGTTTTTAAACTCCATCCCTCTAGCAATGACAGAAAAATTCCATTTGCCTTTTTAATTACCTGCTGCACCTGCAATCCTACTTTTAGCGATTCATGCACAAGGACACCCAAGTCCCTCTGCACAGCAACGTGCTGCAATTTTTTACCATTTAAAACATAGTTCATTTTGCTGTTATTCCTATCAAAATGGATGACCTCACACTTATCAACATTGTACTCCATCTGCCAGACCTTTGCCCACTCACTTAGACTATCTATATCCCTCTATAGACTTTCAGTGTCTTCCGCAAACTTTGCTCTACCACTCATCTTAGTGTCATCTGCAAATTTTGACACACCACATTTAGCCCCAACTCCAAATCATCTATGTAAATTGTAAACAATTGCGGTCCCAACATTGATCCCTGAGGCACACCACTAGCCACTGACCGCCAATCAGAAAAACACCCATTTACCCCTATTCTTTGCTTTCTATTAGTCAACCAATCCTTTATCCATGCCAATACATTACCTGTATTACCATGCAACTTTATCTTGTGTAGCAGCCTTTGGTGTGGCAACTTGTCAAGTGCCTTCTGGAAATCCAGATACACTACATCCACAGGTTCCCCATTGTCCACCATGCAAGTAATGTCCTCAAAGAATTCCACCAAATTAGTTAAACATGACCTACCCTTCATGAACCCATGCTGGGTGTTCCCAATGGGAGAATTTTTATCCAGATGTCTTGCTATTTCTTCCTTAATGATAGATTCAAGCATTTTCCCCACTACTGAAGTTAAGCTAACTGGCCTATAGTTACCTTTTTGTCTACTTCCTTTTTTAAACAGTGGCGTCACACTGGCTTGTTTTCCAAACTGCAGGAACCACCCCAGAGTCCAGCGAATTTTGGTACATAATTACTAGTGCATTTGCTATTTCCCCCATCACCTCTTTTAGTACCCTGGGATGCATTTCATCAGGGCCAGGACACTTGACTACCTTTAGCCCCATTAGCTTGCCCAGCACTGCCTCCTTAGTGATAATGATAGTTTCTGGGTCCTCACCTTTTATAACCTTCTTGCTATCAGTTTCGGCATGTTATTTGTGTCTTCCACTGTGAAGACTGACACAAAATAACTGTTTAATGCCTCGGCTATTTCCTCATTCCCAGTTATTAAATTGGCCTTCTCATCCCCTAAAGGACCAATGTTTACCTTCGCCACACTTATACAATTTACATATTTATAGAAACTTTTGCTGCCTGTTTTTATATTTTGAGCTAGCTTACTCTCATAATCTATCTTACTTTTCTTTATAACATTTTTTGTGGCTTTCTGTTGGCCTTTAAAGTTTTCCCAGTCTACTAGTTTCCCACTAATCTGCTTTTTTGTATTTTTTTTTTAATCTGATACTTTCGTTTATTTCCTTAGACATCCATGGCTGACTATTTCTTTTCCTACAGTTCATGAAAGGTTATTGCCAAAAAGCTCATGATATGGGGTAACATATTGGCATGAATAGAAGTTGCCTTGCTAACAGGAAATAGGTTGTTGGAATAAGTGGGTTTTTCAGGCTGGCAGGATGTCACAAGTCATTGACCATGGGGGATGGTGTTGGGGCCTCAACTTTTTACAATTTATGTAAATAATTTGGATGAAGGTACTGAAGGTATGGTTGTTCTTGTGAATGACACAAAAATAGATAGGTAAGTGTGTTGTCAAGAGGACATTACCAGCATACAATGGGATAGAGACAGGTTAAGTGAATGGCAAAGATCTGGAAAATGAAGTACAATGTGGGAAAGTGTGAAATTGTTCATTTTGGCAGAAAGAATTTTAAAAAAAGCATATTGAAATGGTGAGAGGTTGCAAAGCTCTGAAATGCAAAAACATCTGGGTTTTCATCCACAACCTGAGCTACAGATCTTTGCCAATACTTAAAGGTTTAGAGGGAAATCGGCTAAACACAGGCAAATGGAATTAGTTTAGTTTGGGAAACCTAGTTGGCATGGACCGAAAGGTCTGTTTCCTTGCTATATGACTCTAAACTCTAATCCTCGTGCATAAATCACAAATGTTGGTGTGCATGGACAGCAAATAATCTGGAAAACTAATAGAATGGTATGGTTTATTGCAAGGGAAATTGAATGCAAGAGAATGCAAGTTTATGCTTCAATTATACAGGGCATTAGTCAGACTGCATCTGGAGTACCATGTACAGTTTAGGCACTCCCCGGGCCACCAACTGGTACCGTTCGAGTCCATTTGCAAGTCAATTTATACGCAAGCTGAACACAACGCAGGACATAATTAAATAACCATTCGTGAATACAAGGAAAAGTTTGTATGTCAGATCTTTAAAATTACCTCCGCATATGGGATTGTGTTCATTAGTACAACCATAAGTCGTAGGCCATCATACTTACAGAAGGATGTTAACACACTGGAAACAGTTCAAAGAATGTTTACTAACCTAACACCTGGAATATGCCATTCGCCTTATAAGGAAAGGCTATACAGACTAGGCTTGTATCCTCTGGAGTTTAGAAGAGTCAGAGGTGACTTAATTGAAACATACAAGATCCTAAAGGGACTTAATTGAGTGGATGTGGAAGGACGCTTACACTTATGAGAAAATCTAGAATTAGGGGTTATAATTTAAAATCAAGGCGAGCCCATTAGAGATGAGGAAACATTTTTCCTCTCAGGCTTCAGAATCTTTGGAATTCTTTTCCGCAAAAGGCAGTGAATGCAGAATATTTTCATATTTTAATTATTTTTAAGGCACAGGTTGATAGATTCTTGGTTACCAATGGGATCAGAGATCATTGGGGATATAAAGGATTAGAGTTTAGAGTCATACAGCAAGGAAACAGACCCTTCGGTCCAATTCATCCATGCCAACTAGGTTTCCCAAACTAAACTAATCCCATTTGCCTGTGTTTGGCCAATTTCCCTCTAAACCTTAAAGTATTGGCAAAGATCTGTAGCTCGGGTTGTGGATAAGGTTGTTGACTTGCTTGCCGAGCTGGCTTGTTTTTGTTCAGACGTTTCGTCACCATGCGAGATGACATCATCAGTGGAGCCACCGATGAAGCAATGTTATTCTACTCCACTTGGAATACTCACCATAATGGACCGGACAGTATAAATTCAAGCAAGTCAACAACCTCATCCCTCTAAACCCTTCCTATCCTGTCCAAATGTCTTTTAAATGTTGTAACTCTACCTTCGTCTACCATTTCCTCTGGCAGTTCATTCCATATATCAACTACCCTGTGCAAAGAAGTTGCCCCTCAGGACCCTTTTAAATCTTTCCTCTCTCATCTTAAACTTATGCCCTCTAGTTTTGAATTCCATACCCTATGGGAAAAAAAACCTTTGCTATTCACCCTATTTATGCCATGACGATTTTATTTGCTTCGCTTTGATTCGATTTATTGTCGTCAAATAAATCTCTACAAGGTCACCCCTCAACCTCATATGGTCTAGGGAAAAAAACTCCCATCCTATCCAGCCTCTCCTCACAACTCAAACCCACAAGTCATGGTAATATTCTTGTAAATCTTTTCTGCACCCTTTCCAATTTAATAATATCGTTCCTATGGAAGAGTGACCAGAACTGTTCACAGTACTGCAGAAGTAGCTCCAAAAATGTCCTATGCAGCTGCAAAATGACATCCCAACTCCTATACTTAAAGCTCTGACCAATGAAGGCAAAAGTGCCAAATACCTTCTTCACCACCCTGTCTACCTGTGACACCAAGTTCAGAGAGTTGAGATTAAAATCAAAGCAACTGTGATCTTACTGGATGGCAGGGCAGGCTCAAAGTGCCAAGTGGCCTACTCTTGGTCCTTGTTCATCGAGTAAAAGTCTTCTGGACGTCACACAAAGTTGGGGGGGGGGGGCAAGTGGATCCACTCCTGCTCTGACCTGCCCACTCAATCTCAAATCCCAAGTTAAATTTTACTTTATAAATCCTAACTGACGTATAAATCTTATCCCAGAATTTAAGAATTCATGCCTGTGGAAATATCTAAGACATTAATAGGATAGACACCGGATAGATCAGAAAATTATCACCAACATATTTCATTGAAGTAGCTCTTTATTTGTGATAAGATTTTATGTTTGCTGTAATAAATGTAGATGTTTTCATTGTACTGATTGCAAATTCACTCTAATTATTGAAATTTCTATAAGTATTTTGTTTATTTCACCAGTGCAATACTTTTTGATGAAGTATCTTGTACTATTACAAATCTTTCAATGCCACATAAAATTCCAAACAGAAACTAATGTAACATTTGCCTCAGACATCTGAATATAGCAATCCTATTTTATATTCATACTATGAAGAGGAATTAATTAATTGTTTCCTGTCACACTGAAGATATAACATTTGAACAAAGTCTTATAATTCTGTGGAGATGACTGTTGTTTCGAGGCCTCTAATATACCACTAAACTGACAGAATAATATGAAGTACATAGGGATAGGATTAGGTCACCTAATCCCTGTTCTACCATTCAATACTACCAAGGCTGAACATCAACCAATTGCTACTGAATCATCTTTGCCCCATATCCCTTAAAATCTTTGGCTACCAAGAAAGAGTGCAGAAAAGATGCCTCAGTCAGCACAAGGCATACCTAAAAATGAGGTTCCAATCTGTTGGAATTATTACATGGGGTTATATGGAATCAGTATTCCACAGGCAGAACAAAGCAATCCTGCAACCAAAGGATCAGTTCGCAGCTCTGCAGACCTACCTCATCCAGTAATGGACAAATGTCAGAAGTCACATGACACCAGGTTATGGTCAAACAGGTTTATTTGAAATCACAGGCTTTCAGAGTTTAGCCCCTTCTTGAAACATGTAAGTTTGGTTCCATAATATGACCATAAGGATTTACACAGTATTAAGGATACAAACAGGTGGAATTTATTATGAAGAAAGATATGTTATTTCACAATGACAGAGGAAGCATTTAAATAGCAATGGGCCCTGTTTTATAGCTCACTACTAAAAATGGAATCAGAAAATGATCTGAACGTGATTCATTCCACTGAGCTTGGTTGAGTGCATTGTTATACAGGCATTAATCAATTAATTGCTAGTGAAACTGTGTGTTAACTATTTATAACTTATTTTATGCCTTGCTTTCAAGACTGACTTCTATTTCAAAATAAAATATGCCAGAAATTATACAGTGGGTCTTCAACATTTGTAAACAGAATACAAATGGACATTCCTAACATAACCACTTTACAGAATCTTAATCTGAGCTAACCCATCACAACGTGCCATTTATCTGTTACCAAATTACAGCAGTATAAATCATTGAGGATCTGAAAATGAAACAATATTTTATTGGCATTTTCATTTCTCGTTTCTAAAGTTATAAAATCTTACACATCACATGTATAGCATTTTTTAAACTGAGATAGCATCTGGGAAAATACATATTTTATAAGGCTAGAAATAAAACATTTAAATTAGTTAATGCCTAGGAATTTCCATTACCAGAAGTGTTGGTCAGCATTTTTTGACTGTTTACATTTCTAATTGAGCCATTTTTCTGAAGTTTGCATTGTTTTGCTGCATCAGGAAATCTATATTCAAATACAAATGCAATATATTTTTAAATTCAAATATTGTGCTCCAATAAATATTCCATTGACCTATATGTACCTTAAATGAAATCTGATTTGTCAGAGCAGTGCTTCTCCAGTGCTGTACCAGAGTCAACACTACTTACAATTGTACAAATTAGGAGCAGGAGTAGGCTACTTGATCCCTCAAACCTGCTCTGTCATTCAAGAAGATAAGGGTTACCTTTAATTTAATAAAATATGAATTTTATTTGTAACCATTGAATTTGTATTTTCCCAGGTTTGACATACGACCGGGCGGTAACACAATGCTGTAGAAAAGGAAAAAAAGAGTTTCCTTGTCGCATCCAGGAGATCAGACATGGCACATTTTCAAAACAGTAGTTTCTCATTCTTTCTCTCATTAGATTTGTAATCTTCCAGATTTTATTTTTGATGGAGGAAAATGGATGATGGATGGCAATACATTAGATTGTTAGTGAGCAGCTCTCATCAAAGTAGTGTTTGCCTTTGACTTTTTTCCATTATAGACTTTTCTTTTACTAAAAAACTAATATACCAGGTCTTAGAAGTTTTTTTGCTCCCTATCTTTATTTTACTAGAATTTCAATAATATGAGAATACAACTGCGCAAATTAAAAATTATACTTACCTCATACCTCAAATAATCACAGCTGTGATGGGTGGTAGGGATACCACAATTGATCTCAGCATCCCTCAGTTCCAGCAGAAAATTCTTCCAGGGCTCTTGGTATTGTTTCTTATAAAGAGACATCCACTGAAAACTTATATGACTAGATATCAAGGGTAAGATAGTATACCCTTAACTGTCAAATAAATATCCCAATACTCACCATCATGGACTAGAGCTTCCCATAAGGAGGCTCAGTTTGAGCAAAAATTGGGATGAATTTCCTTCAAAAGGAAATTTAAAGGCGTTTTATAAACAATTTAGTTACTTATTTCTTGGGTTTCAAAATTAAATCAAAACCTTAATCTATAAACACAAGCTCAAAATTAAATTACCCTTTATAAATGTGTTGTAACTATTTACCAAAACTCTTCAAAAGAAAACTGTATGTTGATGAATTCAACAATTATAACTTTACTAAAACCTAATAACTAATCTCAACAGCTTTATAATACAGTATTAAGGAAGTGGATAGTAACTCACAACAAAATACAACCTTGTACTGTCAAAAACATGAAAATCATTAAAATTATTTCAAGCTGTATCAGTTGAAAAACTACCCTTCAGATCTGTCAATATTTTTCTTCACTATACAATACATTAAGCCAATTTTTCACAGACTAACAAGTTGAAGGTTGGGATACTTTAATTTGTAACTCTGGCAGTATAATCAGAAAACCAGGCAAAATAAATCTTTTCATCGTTTGTATAGTTTTTTGAACCAGTGAAACGTACTCCATGTTATCACCAAAAAAATGCAGAGAGAGAACTGGTGGAGACAGAACATATTCAGGTTTAACAAAATGGTTCCACACAAATTTCTTTCACAGAGTTGAAAGAAAACAGATACAAATTATGAGCAAGTGCTACTGTATCAGAAAAAATTGTCCAGATTTTTGTTTTACATTTCACAAGTATTTTCCAGCATAGTGATGAATTGAGGAAACTGCTAGAGAGTAAAATCCATAGTCTTTCAAGATTATTCCACGTGCAATTACACAATTGCATATTGTTCATACAAAAGGTCCCGTATTTTATAATAATCTTCACATAAACATCCCTCTAGTCCAATACGTCCTGTCTCAGTCTGCAAAGAAAATACAAAGAGCAACAAGAATTTAAAGGTAGATCCATCCCCTCTTCAGAAGCAATTGTAGGAAAATAGGTCTTAGGAGCAAAATTAAGCAATTTGGCACTTCAAGTTTACTCCAGCATTCCCTATCTAGCTCCTATCTGTCCCCCATATTCCTTGACTCATGCAGGAATCACAGAAAACTAGTACGCAAGTACAGCAGGTAATAAGGAAGGCAAATGGAATTTTGGCATTTATTGCTAAGAAAGTATAAAAGAAGGGATGTGTTGCTGCAACTGTGCAAGTATTACTGAGACCACACTTGGAATATTGCATACAGTTTTGGTCCCCTAAGTGAGGATGGGTATAGTTGTATTGAGGGCAGTTCAGAGGAGATTCACTGGATTGACTGCAGAAGTGAAGGGTTTGTCTTATGAAGAGATTGAGCAATTTAGGCCTATACTCTCTAGAAGAATGAGTGGAGAAAAAAATGAGGTATCCAAGATGCTAAAGGGAACTGACAAAGTAGATGTCAAGCAGGTGTTTCCTCTTGCGGAGCAATCTAGAATGAGAGGTCATAGTTTTAGGTAAGGGGTAGCAGATTTAAATCAGAGATTTAAATTCTCATAAGGTCATCAATCTGTGGAATTCACTACCCCACAGTGCAGTGGACTCTGATAGTGAGTAAATCTAAGGAAGATATAGACAGATTTTTAATTAGTAATGTGCTGAATATCAGATGTGGGCAGGAAAGCAGAGTTAAGGCGGAGATGAGATCACTCATGATCATTTTGAATGGCGGAGAAGGATGCAGATGCTGAACCCATATCCTAAGATTTGAACACGTCCCCAGAACATTAACCTGCGGCTCTGAATCGTTAATCCAATTATATGACCACTACGCCAGCGCCTCCATTGGAGCATTATAAATCTGTTTTATTTTTATTTTACAGTGTTTCAAATAGGAAAGGTTTTTATCATGAGCAACAGTCTGAGACTGGAAGGCAATGCAGCAGCGCACAAAATATTTTTAAAAAGTTTTGTATTTATAACTGATGCTGCAAAACAGAATTGCATAGAAAAAGGTAGAAGTGCATTTGGAAATGTTGTCTATCACTAAAAAGCAGTATACTTTCTGTATGTTTTTACCTAGATGCAGAACAAACAGCAGGATGAAAGTTTATTAGACACAAACTTCATATACAAGTGACTGTGACAATGCATTTTTACATACTCCAACATAAGTCAAAACAAACATATAATAAAAAAAACAAAATACTTAATTTGTATTTTCCTTCCAACTAATTTTGTCCAACAAGGGTATTACAAGGATAAAACCACTTTGTTTTGATGACTTGTCAGATTATGACAAACCAAAAGAAAATCATTTTCTCCATATGGGAATGATAAATCTTGCTTCTGTTAAGATGTCTGTTATCTGCTGGAGGCCTTTTCATACTATTAACACAACCACTTCTAAACAAAAATACTTACTCTTCGAACAGCGACCAAATTGTTGCAAACCAAAACACCTCCAACAAATTCTGCTTGAATACCTTCTCGCAAGAGAACTTGTTTAAAATCAGATAACCTTGGCTCATTAATGAAGACTGCTTGATGACCAGGAACCTAAAAAAGTTGGATTAAAAATTCAATTAAAATCACTCTGCAATTTTGCATTTTCACGGTTATCTTATTCAATAAATTAGAACTTCATACAATTAGTACAACAAATATGCTGACTTACAGGACAGGGTCAGATATAATTTAGAAAGCACACATCTCAATGACTGATGCCAGAAAATGAGTGTTTGATTCAAAGCAAATGATATGGAGCACACATAGTGGGCCTATAGAGAGAAAGCACAGCATCTTGCTTGTCGATAGTTTTATCACTGACCACTGCAACTTTTTGTTTTAACAGGATCACTGCAGCAGAACTTTGTCAATTTAAAATAAAATAATAGAAAAGAAACCAGCAGATACGAAACTATGCCTGAGACTTGTTTTGTTACTAAAAATGAGAAATCAATCTGTAACTTCTCATGACTTGTCTTAGATGATTCTCGAATAACATATTCCAAAGACTAGCCATCAAGAATTCCGATAAAAGTTATTAACCTGTAATGCTAGCCTTAGGTTTATTTCCCACAGTTTCATTCTGCTAATTTTTTCCGAATGATTCTATCGCCATTTCACAATCACTTCAGTTTTAGGTCAATGGGAATGGGAAGAAATGATTTGCATTTGTATTTTACCTTGGAAGCTGGGTGATTACAGCAACATCATGTTTACTGCCTATTCCTGGCTGCACTGAGGTAATGGCATGACCAATTCTCACGGAGATGCTGGTCCTATTACAACATTGGATAGAGAAATCAAAGATTTTGACCCTATGATGATAAAGGAGGTAGCCACACGTGTCATGCATTCTCATGAGATTGATGCTTTACACTTTCTAGGCAGTAAAACTTATGGGAATGGGAATGGGAATGGGAACTGTTGTTGAGGTATGCGTGATGAAGTGCTGCAATAAACGTTGCAGACAGTATGTTCTAACCATAGTGGTTTGACGATGATTGGAGCTGCTCATGAATTAAATGACAGAGAGATAATCAAAGGGACTGCTTTGTCCTAGATGATGTTGATCTTCTTGGGACATTACCATGGTCATATCCAGCTAGAAGTAATGACCATTCCATTACACGGATGGCTTGAACTTTATCGTCATTACATTGATGAGGTCGGTCTGGTTAAACTTCTGGTCCCTGGAAACCTTAGGACATTGTTGATGGGTAATGTTGAAGGTAAAGTGGAGTCTTTTATTTTTGGAAATGGTCAGAGGCTCATATGTGGTTTGAACATTACCCAGCACACATCAGCCAAGGGCTGTTTATTATTCACATCCCGCTAAAGGCTGAAATGGCTGTTCAATTATAGAATTCCAAACATTCACTACCCTCTGGGAGAATAAATTCCTTTACATCTCAGTTTTAAATGAATGCCGCCTTATTCTGTAACTTTAGAATTAGAATTTATATTAGAATTAGATTTATTGTCATGTATACTCAAGTACAGAAGTATCGAAGTACAGTGAAAAGTTTACAATGTCGCACCTCACGGTGCCATCTTAGACACTGAGAAATAAAGGAAAAAAAAGGTTACCTTGTCCCCTAGTTCAAGATTCCTTCACTCGTGGAAACATCTTCTCAACATCTATATTATCATGCCCTTTCAGAATATTGTATGTTTCAATAAGGCACCCCTTATTCTTCTAAACTTTAATGAATAAAGGCTTAACCTTCATCCCACGAATGACTCCAATGCCAGGATATCCTTTTTAAAATACAGGGACCAAAACTGTACACAGTGATCCTGCTTGGCCTCACCAACACCTTTACTGTTGTAACAAGATTTCTTTGTTTTTAAAAGTCCAATCCCCTCTAGCAATAAAGGCCAAAAATCCATTTGTCTTAATTACTTGCTACATCTGCATGCAAATATTTAGTGTTTCATCCACAAGAATACCCAGATTCCTCTGCACTGCACTTTTTTTGCAGTCTGGCACAGAGAAGAAAATGGTTATACGAAGCACGTTGCCCTGAAGTCTGGCACTGATTCTCTGGCCTAAATGATCACCCGTCCGAGCCTACAGCTGCAAAAAATTGAGGGCTACGTTTTGTTTATGTAGCGATGGTTGGAATCACTGTGATGCATCCACAAAGCTGAGAACTACATGGATAGCACATTTAACAAAATGGTCACTGTTGGGTTAGCCTATGGCCAGAGATGGCACAAAATGGCTGCCTGTGGATTTTCAGTTGGCATAAATATGGCGGAGAAGATTTTCAGCTGCAGGAACAGAATTAGCTTGCTGAGTTCAGAATTAAAGTGAGATCATAGTTTAGGACAATAGTAGTTTTAAGAAATAGTTAAATTCAAGGTAACAGGGTCTAGGCTGAACGAAAAATATTACAAATTAATAGAAAAGGAGTTCTGTACAACCCACAGCTGCAAATGTTTGTTAGAGACTGTCTGATAAGAGATATCTGAGAACAGACAGCCTGAAGTTTGTAGTTTAGCAAGAATTAAAAATATGATCCCACAATAACAGAGACAAATGGTAAGGTGAAAGAAGAATGAGGCTATGTCTTGTAAAACCCCAGGAGTTCAGACAAGTTCATTGAGCTGTAAAAGTAATTGAGTTTCGGTCTTATTAATGGAATAGATGTGCCCACACACACACACACACACACACACACACACACACACACACACTCTCTCTCTCTCTTCCCCATCAGCCCCCCCACACTGACTCTCTCTCTCCCCTCACCCACTCCCCCCCTCCCACACACACACACACACACTCTCACTCTCTACCTCTCCCTCACTCCTTCTCATACATACACACACAGGCACACATAAGTCTATGGGGTGAATTTGTATTTACAGATGCATTTGATGTTGTTCGAAAAACACACAATTTATAGACAATGTGGTGTTTTATAAATTCTTACTTTAGAAATAAAACTAGTCTGACTCCAAACCAAAACACAGACAGATTCTAAACAAAGCCTCACACCTAACATGCATTATCTGACCTAAAAATTCTCTTCTTTACACTGATAAAACCTTTAATTCTCCCAGGGCAGTGACTTGAAAGAAATTCAGGGATTTACATATACATATTAACCAATTAAAACCTCCTAACTGACAAAAGATTTAACAGCGTCTTAGGTTTGTTTAATACATCCTCATCAGTTGTGTGACCCTTTGATCTTTTACTTATAAATTCTGTGCCTGATGCCACCTCTGTCAGAAACACGTGAAGAAGGAACAAGGCTCCAAAAGTTTGTGTTTTCAAATAAGCCTGTTGGACAAAAACCTGGTGTCGCATGATTTCTGACCTTGTCCACTACAGTCCAATGCCGACGCCTCCAAATCATGGAGCAATATTTAGAATAGGATCAGTAAAGTTCCTTTAGAAGACAGCATGTGATTAGAATGAGTTACGGTTACAGGTGCAAGATAGAGGGGTAGTGTTTACCTGACCTTTCCAAGTAGGACAAAAGCTGCTTAACTCATTGGCTTAAGAATTCTGACATTAGGTATGACCATATACTTTTATATATAACTAATTTTATGTTAGAACAGATATTATAAATTTTATAGCAATTAGTAAGCATTAGCATCTTTTAGGGAATAATAAGATGAGTAAGAGAATTTGATAAAGACAGCAAGGAATACAACGAAATACAGAATTCGAACACTTCTTAGAAATAAGCAAGTCTGGCAAATAAATGTCTGAAAAGGAGTATAACTATTAACATTGGAATGTAAGTTAATGAGGTATGTTGTAAGATCCCAAGACCTGATTGTAATGTCTGGTAAACATCATAAGATCATGGGGAACCTACAGCTGTGCATAAGTGTGTCCATCATTGATCGGGTGTTTTACAGGATTGGATGTATAGATTAGGGGGAAGGAACAATGACATCAATGTTGCATCTAAGTATTGTAAGGCAAAATGTAAAAAAATACTATATTCAGCTGGGGAAGACAGAGTGGCTCTGATCTCTCCTCCGATCTGCGCCAGAATTAAGAGGGCAACTGGGCCTCACATGAAAGCCAGATTCAGCGTGGTCTCTGGCCTCTCCCACTTGTGGTAAAAGAACTGTGAATAAACATCGCTTGTACTGCTGAACACAGAATTGGATAATCCTGTTTGACATCTCTCATCTCTCCCCAATAGATACATTGCAGATTAAGACGAGACAGGCAGAAAAGGAATGGGTAATGGCTAGGCAGTCTAGCACAACTAGGAAGGAAGTGCAGTGTCCCCTGAGTCTATCTAATTCGTGAACTACTTTTCATTTTGGAGAGTGGACAATGAAATAAATTAATATGTTGGCTTTTCCGACGCATATATTTCCCCACAAAGGAACCAATTTTTTTTTTCAAAGTTATAGTTTCTGGCGAGGGCAAAGGCAGAATATTAATTCAATTTGTAATTTTAATTAAATCTAGGTTTCAGTCACATTACCAACTGTCAAATTTCAGTGATTTTGTTTATAAGCTTTGATCTGTTATTTCCAGTCACTCAACTCAACTTACATTGAAGAGGGGAAAAACAAAGAAAAGTCATCAACAGGATGCCCTCAGCATCAAATGTCTCGATCAGTAACATGTCTTGACATTTAATTGTAACTAATACAAGGCTTTCTCTTTCAAAGTGAGGCAATCGAAGTGTGCTTCCAAATCAGCTTTGTTCTGCCTCAGGTTTTTTTAACATGTATAAAGAATCAAATAAAACCTATTTATTTTATTTCGTACCAATTACTGGCTCATAACTGTCAAATGAAAACCTTAATTTTGATCCATAATAAAATTGAGAGTTCCAAAATTTAATGAACTATGGATGTGTATGTTGGAAATATAAATTTATTTTGAGTTATACTTCTTTAGACCCATGATTATTAACTTTTCCTGTTCCTGGACCTTTGATTGGTAGATAGTTTCACATGGTCTGTGCAAGAGAAACATTTTGAAATCCAGAATAATAATACTGCAGTCTATGTTTTATTACAGAAACTGGATGAATAATTGAATAACTATGACACTTAAATGTCAATATGCATTTCATATTAAAAAAAATCTTGGTTTTTACGATTAAGACTTATTAACTTTATAAAAAAAATCAACAAGTCCCAAAATTTACAAAGTCAAATCAACCTTGATTATGATCTGATCTCTAGTAAAGTTAATATTTGTGAACTGTGAATGCACTCACAATCTCTAGAAAGACTAGGGTAAAATGTAACATCGATCCTTGCAAATTCCCCTGAAAGTCAGACATCATTCAGACTTGGAAATAATGCTGCTCCTTTCTTGCAGCTGGGCTAAAACATTGGAACACTCTACTGACAGCACTGTAGGAATACCTTCATGCCATGGTGTCAGCAGTACAAGCTAGCAGCTCATCACCACAGATTCAATGCTCATCTTGCCAGTGACACCCACATCCAATGAATGAATAACAAATAAATATCTCAATTTAATTTCCATACCTCATTTGGTGACAATGGTTCCAGTGTGGGAATTACATCAAGATCTTCATTGGTCTCTTTTTCATCATCATCAAAAAGGCTCTTCATAGCTTTTTGCTGAGCTGCAACTTGGTCAGAGTTATGTGTAGATGAGGGAGCATCAACCTGCATTTCTCCTTCTTCATCCTCTCTTAACTCGCCCTCTTCCAGAATGACCCCTGTATCAACCTTTGATACCCTCATGTCCAAAACACCATCTATCCAAGCTAACTCTGCATCCTTTGCTTTACAGAACTGGAGAGAACTGACCAAAGAATCTTTTAGTCTAACCTGTGAAAATGAAATATCCATATATTAGAAAATCATAGAATAATGATTTTGGCCATTCAGCCCATCATCTCTGTAAAACGATAAATGTCGCAGTTTATCAATAAGTGAAGGAAACCATAATACTTTGATTCAGAATCTAACATTTTCTTATTAAATATGTATTAAAACTCTTTTGAAATACAAGTGAAAGATAGCACAGAATTTATATTAATCAGAATAATTAAATATTTTAACTTCTTTAGTTCTTCCAGAGATAATTTACGATGTACTTTTGAATTTTTTTTATCCATTAGTAACATAAGAAGTTTTTTTATAATGTCAAAATACTGAGCAACAAAACATTTGTTTCACCGATTACTTTGTGCGTTCACCTCGGGTTTTTGTGCCCTTCATGTTAATAGATTTAGTCAAAGAATAAAATTGTAAATTCAGTGCTAACAATCTCAATGCTTTAATTTCTCAACTGCTAAGCAGCTTACTACTTGCGTTGCCATAATTTTCTTTGGAAAACATCAAACCTTGGTTTCACATAAAATTAATTTGTAGAAATATTTAGTGCTTCTGGCAGAGTTCCAAAGAATTGAAGCTGCTGCAATAACAAAATGCTAAATTTATAAATGACATTCATTAAAGACTGTGTGTGTTGCTATTTGAAGCTGCGAATTAGTGGTATTTTCCACCATGTTAGAGAATCTTATATACAACTTATCTTTCCAAAAGATTGAAGATATAATCAATTACTTAATTGCATACTTTAATCAAATGTTTTAAAGCAACAGCTATGTTGAAAACGTGTTCGTGCTTTCTAGTTCTGGACTCAGGTGAACAAGAAATTGTACTGTTACTTCCAAATGTATTAAAAAAACAATTACAGAAAAAAAAGGAATTGTTCTTTTTTAGCTTCACTGAAAACTTCCAAAACAATTCATAGCCAAATAATGGCAGTGCCTTCACTTTAAAAATGAGTAAGCAAGTAAGGCAGCCAAATCACGAATGCCCAAAACAGTAAAAAATGAATAGTTACTGCATGGTTTTTGGTAGTGTTGGGCCAACAGATAAAGGGTAGATAAAACTCTGGCAGAACAAACTGTTCTGCTTTGAGTAAAATCTTAGGATTTATTTGTCCCACCTACACAAGTTAACAGGTCCTCGGTTTAATGCTGCACCTAACGCAGAACTCCTTTAGTACTGCCAAATAGTTATCAGCCAATCATACGCTAAACTTCCAAAGTAGGGAGCGAATTCAGCAGCTAATTAAAAATATCAATTTTGAGAAATCATTATCCTGCCTACGTATTCATTTGAAATTAGGTTAACAGCAGAAATCTGAATAGCCAGTAATTACACATAACTGTCAAATTGTATTACCTGATAGATATGCGTCTCACTGGTAGCATCTATTGTTTCTTGAAGTTTTGGTGTGTAAACTTTAATGTCCTTTCCGCCAAACGCTTTGCACGATTCAGCCAGATCTTGGCTGGACTCTGGAGGCCCATGAACAATAATCAACTGTCGGGGTTTCATCTGATTAATAATTTTTTTAATAGAGTCACCATCTGAGCGACCTTCATAATCAATATATGTCACTCTGGCTCTGTAAGAAGAAGGCAAGTTACTTGATGAACTGGTATATTTCACCTTAGTAGAAGAAGAATAAGCAGAATTTTGTGCAAGGCTTATCAGCTTCAAACATTAAAAAAAAAACGATCTTACTGACCTGATTTCTATGGTTTCTAAAGCCGAGATACACTTTGTTGGAACATCAGATAAATCCTGATCCATAGGTTCCTCACCATTACTCAGACCAGAATCGAGCTTGCTCTTTTCTTCTTCTGCTGCTTGAAGTTCCGGAACCAAAAAATCCTCAGCTCTGAAATAAGGTATTAGCAATAAACAACAGGGGAGCACAAGAGGAGGTAGCTCTATTTTGGATTTCACATTGGTTTTTACAGGTATCAGGTAGAATACTGACATGCTTTTGTTTAAAAAATGTTCGCGAGAAGAAAAGTCAATTGTCTACAACAAGAAATATAGTCACTTAGTACAGAAATTGAATATTGCTGAGGAGAGATTTGTTGCTGAAATTTCTTATCTTCTATCTGTGCAAGTACACCAAATTTCAAACAATTGCAACAATTTCTATTACAGGAGAAAAGGTTGCTGATTGGTTGGCAAGTCAACACTGATTGGCCAACATGCTGCCATAGAAAAGTTAAAAATAATCAGATGTAAAAGAAAAATTGAAATATTAATAAGATCAATTAAAATCTTGATCAAAATATTTGGAAGAGGCTGGAGAAGGTGACTGGGTCAAGGGTTGCAAATGGGTCCAGGAGGAGGAGGAAACAATATACCCTCTTACAATCACCGTGCATGTATTTTCTGCTTTTGATTACACTGTTTCAGTTGCAACAGCAGGACTCATATGGCCACATATTCTAAGACTCTGGAGTAGCAAAGGAGATTGGAAATGGGACAGTAGTTTGCAAGAATGAAAAGGAGCATAGTTAGGATTTTGAGGAAGGGTGTATTGTATGGAAGTGAGGGGACTCTACATTGCCCAACAGCTGTCAGTCAGGCAACAGCCCTACACTTCTCCAATCCATCTCCACAATGTTCATTGTTTTAAGTACAGCAAAATAAAGAAGGGTATGGGTGGGGAAAAATGGCAAATCACGGAACGGAGACTGAGTGCAAAAGCATCATAATTCTGCTCCTAATTTTAGTCACAGCATAAAGGCAAACGCTCAGATAAGAGAAAAGCCAGCTAAAGTATGCTTACTTTTAAAACAATGTGCAAGTTATAATTCTACAGATGATTTTGTACATTTACCAGAAAATAATAGCTTTTATGTTTTATGGAGTATATTCATATAGCTTTGTTGAAAAACTGAAGATCCACAGGATGTTGAATATTAAAGATGCTGCAGCTTTGAATGCTCAAAGGTTTTCAAACTGTCTGCATTTATTGCACCAACAATTGCTATGTTGACTGCAAGTAACATTTTGTAACATAAAGCAGAACATCTCGAATATATTTAGCAGGGAGAGTGTAATTCCACTTCTTACGGGTTTTCTGCTATAAATGAGCATGTTTTAAAAAATACTTTAAAAATTGAATAACACAGAGTATCAAAAAAAATACAAGAAAGCAAGACAATGGTATAGAATGAGGATATGTTTTTCAGGTCACAAATCCAATTCCTAGTTCTTTTGTTTTAGTGACTGATGTCTCAGAAAGATAAATGTAAGAATAAACTAACTAAATATTAATAGTAGAACATAACCAGTAATTCATTATAGATATTAATAGTGAAATGACTTTTAGAAATCTAGCAGGTAAAAGTAAATGCCACAATGCCCCAGCATTGATGGTTTCTCCAGAAGTAGCTTAAGGATTACATACATTGTACATAAAACAGTGTTAGAACAATTACACACAGATATCTCACAATAACTTAAATATTCATGACAAAGCCTTATTTTTGACTTTGTATTCAAAACAAATCAGCTAATCTAAGACTTGCATTGTTGAAGCTTTTCACATCTGTAAAACCTAGTGTTTATCACAGTCAAGTGTGGTTGCTAGTGCATTAGCCGAGGAAACTACTACTCAGGCCAGTTGTGTGTGACAGGAGTATTTGTAAGCCAAGGCACAAACAATGACATGGATGAATATGATACCAGCTAAGCAGCTGATTCACATCCAGAATTAAGCAAAAGGAAAGCAAGTCAATAATGTCACAACATATATAGTGATCTCTGCAACACAGCACTGAAATTTTGCCTAGAAGAATTAAGGCGATCCAGTAATGCACACTTCTTGACTACTTAAGGTTCCAGGTTCTGAGTTACCTGGAAACATGGTTTAAGAAATTAAACAATGGAATGTTACGCTACAATTATTATGTAAATTTGTAAAAATTAAAAATTAAAATCAACATTTAGTGAACCACGGGAAAGTAAGTGTAGGTCCAAGTCTATTTATTTAAATTGTTAATTTAGCCATCATCAAAATTTTTGCAACTGATATTGCTTTTAAAATTCTGCAGTTCAGGAATAATCCTCTTCCAGAATTCTACGAATAGAATGCAAATGAAAATATGTTGAAGGGAATAAATTTATAAATGAAGAGCTATCATTATATAGCAAACTAGCATATAGTGCCATCATGTGGTTAAGAATGACAAAATGCACTAAAACAAGAGCTGGCAAGAGAATACTGCAGGCAAAAAATTGCAGTATAAAGGTTCAGTGGAACTTTTTTTTGTTACGAGTATTGTGTGACTGTAGTGCAGGTACCCAGTCCCATTCTACAGCAATTTCATCATCTCATTTTTCCATGTAATGATTGCACAGGAGGCCATTCAAACCATTTGTGAATTAAAGCTAATCACAATGACACACCCTCTCTCACTGAATCTTCATCTGCTTCAAATGTACCAACAAACTGTTTCCTTTATGTTATATTCCAGAGGGCCAAAAGATAAAAGATAGAACTGGAGCCAATTGCTCACAAATACTGGAGTCCGAGACAACACAGCATGGAGCTGGAGGGGGAAAGTTGACGATTCGGGTCGGGACCCTTCTTCAGAAAGTTAACCCGAAACATCAACTTTCCCCCTCCTCTGATGCTGCCTGGCCTGCTGCGTTTCTCCAGCTCCACGCTGTGTTATACTAATACAAGCTTTTTGCACAAGAAATTTGGAACATCACATTCGTGTAGCATCTTGACTTATTTACAGACACTGCATATTAAATAGCTTTCAAATTTTGAACTAAAGTTTGCCAAAAGTTCTTTTTATGAAGAGTACAGCTCCTTTAAGTTAGATTTATTCAAGATACCTTATTATTTCTCCATATTCATCCCACTTCATTCTCTCCTCTGCTGCTGGGAACATAGGGTATGATTTTTTAGCCTGTTTGAAAAAGCTTCCTTTGCGACTGCTCTCACTTTTCATCATGAGGTCATGTTTGGTTTTTCCAGTCAAAGGTTGGTCCATGTCTTCTTCAACATCACTCTCATCACTGGAGTCAACATCTCGCCTACAGGAAAAAAAATCAAAGACAACTATTAATTTACTCCACAAATCAAGCACCCATGGGGAGAAATATTTCAACTTTATTATTTCCAGCATTTTCTTGTTTTACCTAAGATTTCCAGTGTCTGCAACATTTTACTTTTATAATCTATTAATTTAGTTCCAAACAAATAAACATCCTCTAGTCACTGCAGCTTAAACTAACATTACACTAAAACAGTGGATTTTTGTTCAAAGAGTGAAACTTAAAGAATTCCACCTACACTTATTTGTTACCCAGTGCCACGTCTTATTTTCTATTAATGCTCTGCTAATCTGTAGTTTTACAATGATTTGAATAAAGACCTGTACATTATACAAAGAACAATTTTGAAAGTTGTTCTTGCTGTACAGAAAGTAATAACGTTTAGGTAGCACCACAATGTCTTCAATATATCACAATGTCTCATTAGTGACAGCATAATTTACCGGCGCACTATCTTTGGAATTGAGGCAACTTAAAATTTTGTTATGTATAACAGACAGCTTTAGTTCTTTTGCAATGATAATGAATGGAACAGTCAGGTCTCAATAATGGAGGTGTACTTGGAGAGCTATTGAAATCCACCTGGCTAATGTGGGGAACAGGAAACAATCTGCAGAATTTACTCTGAAGGTGATTAACTGAGGTACACGCTGTGAAAGCAATGGATTTGATGATGCTTGTGGGTGTTTCACATTCATATTTTATCTTTGCAATATAACGTTCAACCAAGTCTTCAAAAAAATCTATTTGATCATACAATCAAAATTTGACAAATAGTTTGAGTCACATTGAATTAAACATTTAAAGTATTGAAGAGAAGTATACTACAAAGCTTTACAAAGTATTAGAAAAGATTTGCAATCCAATTTTTCAAGGAGAATTATGACCTTTTTACGGTCTAATATCTTTGTGTCAAAGCTGGTTATAAATTGTAGCCATACTAAGTCAGAACTTTGCAACATAATTCTGTAAACACGTGATTCAAAAAATATTACCATTTCAAAAAATCAGAAATAGAAGTACAATATCTTAAAGTATCATTAGAAAATAAAAATTTTAGTTCACAGCTATTCACAGTGTTGTTTAAATTAGTAGGTGTTTCTTCCTGCAATGCATTTAGTCTCAGAATTGGAGCTGTGTAAATTCTGTGCCAGCCACTTTGCCTATGGCACACAGACCATGAATAGCAGTACTGTGACATTAGTCCAATAATAATAACCTCAAAACCAGACAGAAATTTTCCTCGATAATTTTCTTAGCCTTAGGTGAAAAATGCTTAGTGCCTAAGTGAGGCAGAAAAGCAATGACAGAGTATATTTTGCATGCTTTGTGCATTAATTTTATATTTGTTTATTCTTTTGTATTAATGTAAGACCAAATGTCCTACAATTATGGAATTTTCACTGATGACTGAAAGATCACCAACACATCACCTGCAAATGTTCCACATTATATCCTCAGACAGCAAGCAAAATAAAAAGCAATCCAAACCCCAACTTTGTCAATTTTTACGTCCCGTCTACTCACTCCTTCTCTTGTTCCTGCTTTTTAGCTGCCTCTTTCTTGAGCTTTTCTTTCTCTAGATACTCTTCCAATTCTTTCCCTTCTAATTTTACACGACGTCTAATCTATTGGCGAAAGATTAAAAACATCACAGTGAAAGCTGACCCAGAAATTATTACATACTTCAACATATAAGTTTTTTAAAATCAGATGCTCAAACTTCTAGTTGATCAAGTCAAAACGGAACCCCAATTAAAATAAATTCAAAGATGGACTCTTGAAGACCGACCTTAAAATTCAGTTTGTTCCCACATAACCAAACAATTTTCTCTCTTACAATCAACGAGAGTTGCATTTAATTTTTTAAAAATATGTATACAGGAGTATATTGTTTGAAGCTCCCTTATTACAATATTTAAATAACGTATTTAATGCTTTTTATTCAATGCTACAAGAAACATTAACCATAACTAAGCACTTTAAAATAAAAGTGGATAAGCGTAAAGCTAGTACAGAATGATGGGTAAGATATTTGGAAAATTCTACCTCTGACCAGCACAAGGCACTGATTTTCCAGGCTACTGAATGGAATGTAGATTTTGGCAACAATTCTCCGAACAGTGAGTTCACATCATCAGGTGGACCATTAAAAGACGATAGAGCACAAGAAACATATTTTCCAGAAAGCATGACACCCCATTTGCTGCCATGTAACTACCAAATAATCACTGACGAAAACCTGAGTACAAGTTGTTTTATGCTCTTTCAAACAAAGGTGCAGGCCCAGGTAAACCCAGAAATACATCCATTCCAGTTCATTTATCAATTTTTGAAGATAAATTTCATTACTCGATGTAAATTACTTCATTCATTTCCAATCTGATTCTATTACGCCGAAGAACTTTTTATCCACACGACTTCAATATCTCCAATATGAAGCCAATGCATTTGTAGTTGCATTCTTACCTCTATATCCATTTTTTTGGTGTTAGGATTGTCTATCAAATATCGTGCCAGTGTTCCAGGTGTCGTTCTGTAAGTGAGAATCACAGAATTTTTTGGATCCTGACACCATTGTATGAAAAGATCACGTGAAAACCCACATTCCATGTCCGACTGACTGGCCAATACAACCTTTGGACTGGGCACTCTGGCTAGATCTGATAGGCTGTGGCACAAAGAAAGGTGACGAAACTGAAAGGGATTGTTTCGCTTGTCTTCAAAACATCTCATTAACTTGTCGCTCATCCATTCTACCTAAAATTAAAGAAATATCGTATCATTAGAAGGGAAAGAATATCACTATTTTTATCATTGTCCTAATTCTACATCAATAAATTTCATTAGAGGTGAATATTCATATCATTTATTTTAATCAAAAGAATGTTCCAAAATGTTGTTTAACAGCAGGCAAGTAAGGTTTGAAAAAAAGGTTTCCAAATTAAGGTTACTGATCAGAATCAGATCTTTGTAACTAAACCAAACTGGTCACGACATACAAGTGTTGCAAGGAAGATAATCATTACATATTAAAAGAAAGCTACTGTTATTGTGGGAACATTTAAAAAGTGGGAGTCAAATCCACTTACAAGTAAGTGTTGATAAGCAACTCGCTGGACAAGGAAGTTTTGCATAATTGTCCGCCACCATTCACGATGAGAAGCAACAGAACTGCAGAGATTAGATCTGATCTCGTTGCTTAAGTGTTTGACATGCAAGTTGTCCTGTGGTGTAGTACCACTGAGTTGAACACCTCAAATAGAGGTATGCCCAGTGCTGCTCCAGGCTTACCGTCATGTACTCTTAATGTATCTAGTGTTGGATCCACTGGTTTGGTGAGAATGGTAGAGTGGGAGAAATGCCAGGTCATGAGGATAGAGATTGTGAATGAATATAATTCTTGATGACCCTTTCTCTGGATTGGCACTTTGCTGTGGTGAAGAGGCTTGAGTGTTTCATTGATCCCAAAAGCAATACCATCAGGAGTTCTCAGGGCCATCCACCATGGCAAGGACAGAAGGGAAGAAGACAAAGTTCAATCTGAAACAAGTCCTCAACAACAATTCAGGCAAAGATATTCATGTAATATCAATGGCTGAGACAATGGAAGAAGGTTGCAGCAATAGGGAGATCCACAGTGATCAAGGTTTCCTTACCCCTGGAACAAGATCAACTTTCTGTCAAGGACCGTGTCTGCTAATGTGCAATAGCATTCCCACATTAAAAGATGTCCCAAAAGGTGTCTACCTAGAGGAATTCATCCCACACTACACACAACACAAGCACTGCAGCGAACATCAAGAGGTGACAGGGACAGGATTAAGAGATATAGAACTTCCTAGCTTCAGACCAGCATGTTGGCAATTGAGTTTGACTCAGTTGTTTTGCTCTTGGAATAGGAACAGGACAGCACTTTGGCACCTTTCTTCATGACTAAGCAGCCCTCTTCAGGATCCATTCTGCTTAACTGACTTGGGGAACAGACTAGAAAAGGTGCCTTGAAAATGGTATGTTCTGTCACCAACATGGCATCAACCCAACACCACATCCAGTGGGCTCATCTATCTGCAGCCTAAAAATCAAAGTGAAACTCAATCTCAGAATGTGGAACATACAAACCCTCATGGAGAATAAGTGAAACAATAGTCTGAAACAAAGAATTTCCCTTGTTGCCCATGAGCTCAGTCACTTCAACATTGATACTGTTGCCCTGCAGAAGATTCGAGGAGTAGGTGAAGGGCAGCTGAGGGAGAGGAAAAACCCGAGGGTCAACCCAGGACATATGGAATAGGATTCACTATCAAGAACAAACTCGTCAACACTGGAAAGAAACTATCAAAGGAAGGAGTCAGGAATTGCAACTCCAACACAATTCTCCTGCTTACCTAACGTGTGGGACACCAGCTGGTCATCTCCAACACACTGTTCCACAAAATGACAAGTTTGACATTCCGAGACCTAAAGGATGTCATCATTGCCAAAGCAATGACTAATAACTGGTCTACCGGCTCAGCTGCTCCTCCATGTCTTGCAAATGCCACCAGAATAAACAGAAGACGAAGAAACAGTTCAGAAAAAAAAGTCAACATTGAGCAGCTTCAAGGGGCAAGCAAACTTCCAACAATGTCTTCACTAAAAACTCCAAAGTGTTAATTTTAATGGAGTGAGGAAATTTGGAAAGAGCTGAAGACATTGCATGCTTTGACGAAACCAATGGCTACAAGACCAGGAAACACCAATGCTGGTTTGATGAGAATGATCACATTATCCAAAATCTCATCGATAAGAGGAGTAAGCTCTCTATGTCTGGCAAAACAACATCTTCAGTGAAGCAAAGTGGGAAACTCATCCAACAGCAATGGCAGAGTTACAAAGAAAAACTGGGGAAATTAAGAACCATGGTGAAGTGAGAAAGCTAAGGAGCTGCAACTCCTTGCTGACAAGCACAACAGCCAGGGTTTCTTCACTGTTACCAAGGCAATTAACAAACTCGACACCCTTGGGCTCAAACCAATACGGAGGAATTACAGCACCCTTTTGAAAAGCAGAGAAAACATCAGCCTCCGATGGAGAGAACACTTCAAAGAACTCTGAAACCATGATACAATCGTCGTTGAGGATGCATTTTGAGGAAATCCCCCAAATCCCCAAAGGTGATCTTGGACTTCCACCTGGTGTGAGAGAAATTGGAAACTCCATTAGACACATGAAGAAAGCAAAAGCTGCAGGAGTAAGTCAGGATTCCAGCAGAGATTTTCAAACTTGGAGGGCCAGAGCTTACTTGTCATCTCCATCAACTGTTTATGAAAATCTGGGACAAAGAAACCCTGTCAATCTCAGGGATGCTTCCATCACCACCGTCTTCAAGGAAGGAGACAAGTAGACTGTGGGAACACCGAGGAACCTCTCTATTCTCCATTGCCAGGAAGATCATTGCCCAAAACCTTGCCAGGTGCCTTCTCACAGTCTCTGATGAAATCTTTCTTGAAAGTCAATGTGGCTTCCGACTAAACCATGTAACTATGGACATGATTTGCACTACTCGGCAACTCCAAAAGAAATGCCAGGAACAATAATCTACAT